ATATTTTAGTTCAAATTCCCTTTGTAAATACAGCAAATATATCAAAACTAAATCCAGAACTGTTTTTCACCTTTTTATTTACTTGTTTTAGTATTTGAACCTGACTGATCAGGGCTTAGGGGATATTCCTTGTTCCATGTATAGAGATCACTACTCCTAGGTTTTATATAATTGAGGGAAATTTGTTGAATGTGCGTACCACCAATAAAATACACTGCAGATATAAATTAATTAGCGGGAACGGATATGAGACCTGTGTAATACCTTTTAAAACATTTTTCTGCTGAAAGGAAGTAAAACGTTTCTTCGCTGTAAAAATGTATTTTATTAACACATGCATATAGATGCAAAATAATCAGAGATATATTACAAAGAGTTACAAGAAGAGATCATCTCCCTCATCTCCCCCGAAATTGAAGACTTATGCAACCAGTCCCATATGTATAAGATAACCCGCGGTCCACACAAGGCAGCGGGAAGCCCAGGCTGTGCTCATCCCTCATCAGCCCTCTTTGCTGCTCCCAGAGCTGGCCAAGCTCCCGTGTCTGTTTATGTTTAGTTTTTCCTCCACCTCTTTCTCTCCCAAAAGCAAACTAACTTGGGTTGAATCTTGCTGTTTTCTCAAGAAAATTTGAATTTTTTCGAATTCAGGTTGCAATTCTTCCTTCCAGTTTTCTATTTGCTTTCTCACTCCAAAAGATTTTAAAACCTGACTATCCAAACTCATTTCAGCCTCTTCCATCTGTTTCTTCACAATCTTTGTGCATCTTCTGAGCTTCTTTCTTGACTCACTGCAGCTCTCTCAGTGGGGATCAGGTGGTGATCCAGGTCCTCCTCTGACTCCAGGTCCTCCTCCGGCTCCAGGTCCTCCTCACAGAACAAATCTGGAATCTCATTGTGTTTCTCACACAGCGGTTCTTCTTCCTGCCAATTCTGCCTAGTGCTTCTGATGGGGAGCTGCTTAATGCTGTCAGTGAGGTTACACAATTGATAGTTCTTCCTGAGTTTCCTGCCACGGCAGTGGTGGAGGCAGATAGGACAGGGGAAGACATCCTCTAAATCTTCCCAGCGCTGGCGGATGCAGGAGTCACAGAAGTTGTGCCCACAGTCAAGAGTCACCGGATCTCTGAAGTAATCCATGCAGAGGGGGCAGCAGGCCTCTGCATGGAGTTCAGCCAGGAAGGCTTCAAATGCCATTGTTCTAGACATGGTGTGATGAAATATTTTTTCAGAAATTCTGATTCTCCAACCACTGTGAGAAGAGAGAAGCAAATTGTTTCAGAGTCTTTATTCTCCTGAGGAGACTGTGGTACTTTTTAGGTTATCAGCAAGCTCCAACCCCAAAAACCCATTTCTCATTACATCCCATCAGGTCAAGAAGCAACTGGCCAGATGATCACTGATCCTCTTACTCTGAATCACTGTTGCCCAAATTGATCCTGATCAGTGGATTCTCTTAGACAAAAACATCTATTATTTTAAGAAAGGATGAAATTCTGCCATATAGAGGATCTCCATAGAATAATTGTTCTGATCACTTCCATTCAAACTGAGAAGGAATCTCTCTCTCTCTCTCTCTCTCTCTCTCTCTCTCTCCACACACATATATGAATATAAAATTAACAAACAAAGTGATATACATACAGGGTATGTATATCAAGGAATTAAATCTCTCTCTCTCTCTCTCTCACTCTCTCTCTCTCCCCCTCTCCACACACACATATATGAATATAAAATTAACAAACAAACTGATATTCATACTGGGTATGTATATCAAGGACTTAAATCTCTCTCTCTCCACACACATATATGAATATAAAATTATCAAAGAAACTGATATACATACAGAGTATGTATATCAGTAAGAAAGACAACTTTATTGATATAAATATATGAATTTTTTTTTGCTTTTTGGGTCACACCCAGTGGTGTTTAGGGGTTGCTCCTGGCTCTGCAGTCAGGAATTACTCCTGGCGATACTTGGGGACCATATGGGATGCCAGGAATTGAACCTGAGTCGGTTGCATGCAAGGCAAATGCCCTGCCCACTGTATTATTGCTCCAGCCCTAATACATGCCTTTTTTTTTTTTTGCTTTTTGGGTCACACCCGGAGATGCACAGGGGTTACTCCTGGCTCTACACTCAGGAATTACCCCTGGTGGTGCTTAGGGGACCATATGGGATGCTGGGAATAGAACCTGGGTCAGCGGCTTGCAAGGCAAAAGCCCCACCGGCTGTGCTATTGCTCCAGCCCTCAATACATACATTTCTTACTCAAAAATTATAAACATTTGGAATGCTAAATAACTCAATAAAATAATTTTATTTATGATGAGCATTATGATATTATGGCTTGGTGTCGGGCATATCTAGTATAGAATTTACACGTGAAAATAGTATACATACAATGCTGGAGAGACAGCATAGTGGGTAGAGCAGTTGCCAGACCCAAGTTTGAGCCCAGATACTCTATAAAGTCACCTGAACCCCATCAGAAGTGATTTTGAGTGCAGAGCCAGAAGCAATCCTTGAGTACACAGGGTGTCACCCAAAAACAAAAAAATAAATTAAATATGCAGCATATATAACTAAACTGCACGTGTCTTGAATTGCTTCATTATACTGAGGAAGAGACAGAAGAGGGCAAAGGTTTGTAAATTAATTCATTTCCTCTATTATTTTGTCGATTACTGTCACCTAATAAAATTAAGTAAACTAATCATTAGTGTTGTGTGCCCCTATTCTAACCACTCCAACTTCTGCCATACTCTTCTTTGTCTCAGCTTTCTTTTTCCCCTCTTTTTTTCCTTTCTCAGGTAATTTATTAGTATATTGCTAATACCCAACAAAGACCTGCAAAACACATTTTCATTAAATTGTTCCATCTGTTAAATTCTAAGTCTTAATCTGAATTTTCCAAAGGAGCTTAGAAGGGTCACTAATTTTTTTTATTACTATAAAAGTATCTCTTATTTACCTTGATTAGTATTTTCTTGAATTCATAAGCCCGGCAAGCTACTGAGAGTATTCGATATGCCAGACACAGTAACAACAAAGTCTCCAATGGAGATGTTACTGGGCCCGCTCGAGCAAATTGACGATCAACGGGAGGGTCTTTACCTTTACCTTTACCATAAGTGAAACAAATGAAGCATAGTCCTTTCTAGTTCTTACACAGCCAATTTTAAAGGCTAAAATAAAGACCCTAAGGTACATAAAAATAGTGTCCCCATCTTTTCAAGGTACTATTTCTCTTTATAGTTTCCCCTGTATGGCTTAACCTGGTATCTCTCCAACTCTTTCTCATTCCTAGTCGTCATTTCTTAAATGTAAATGGCTTATTCTAGTTCAATTGTGTAGAAAATCAAGCAAGACCTACTAGTAGGATTCTACTGACTCATTGTGGAGTAACAGTTGACAATCACCTCTTAAATATCATTTATTCCATTCTCCTCCAAACCTGCAAACATTCACCAGCTCTCAATTTTATGTTCCTTCCAAATTAATGCCATCAATACTCCTCGTAAGTATCTTTCAGCCTCCACAGCCCTCACTGAAACAGTTTGTCTTTTGTTTTGTTTGGCTTTAGTTTGTTTTCATTCTCCCTCTGCCTTTCCCTGGGGCCTGGTCCCTGGCAGAGTTGTATGGACTCCTCTGGCATGGTTAGCATCTCACACACCTAGCTGTCCTGCCGAAAGCTTGCGTCTCATTCTTGATTCCACTCAAGATCAGAGTTCACAGTAAAACTAGTCCCACAGTTATAATGCTTTCATCAATCCACTCTCCAAATATACACAATTAACCCCAGTGTGATATTGTAGAAGACACAGATGGCTTCAGATCCTTACTTAGGATATTACTCTAAACCCTTGTCCACACATCAAACACACACACACACACACACACACACACACACACACACACACACACAGAGTTTCTGGTCAAAGAACAGACAATTGGTATCAGTAACTAACAAGAATTTATGTAAGTTAGGACAAATGTCTTTGAATGACTGGAATGCACAATGAGTGTATATAATCCTGACATTACATAGAAATTGACTATCCTATGAAAATGCAGATCTCTACCCCTGAATGACACAGGAATCCCAAGAAGTGGGGACTCCTCAATGCTCCTGTATCCCTGTTGCCCACACTGGCATTTCCTGCTTACCTTTGATGACAATTCTGGGATGGCTCTTGTTTCCTAAGACTGGTCCATGAGGCAAATGTTTGAATTATGTAAAACCAGTAAGGAAGCGGTTTATGTGATCTCTTAAGGTGACCATGGAGTTTATATAATACTAGCTGGTTGGGGCAATTGAGATCACACCCATGAAAAAAGGGTGGTTCTTCCCTAGGAAAGGAGATTGGGCTTGCCTGGAATGGGGATGGGAGAATTTTTTTTAATGAATCACCTTGAGATGATTCACAGTTACAGATGTACAAACTTTCATGATAATGTTTCAGTCATACAGTGATCACGTACCCATCCCCCCTACCAGTGCTCATTCTCTACCACCAATGTTCCCAGTATCCTTCCGATCCCCCCTCCGCCTCCACACCACCCTCTTCTCTGTGACAGGCCCATTCCCTTTTACTCTCTCTCTTCTTTGGGGTTTTATAGTTCACAATACAGATACTAAGTGGCTATCATATTCAGTCCATAGTCTACTTTCAGCACACATAAGGATGGGAGAGTTTAAGGTTAATTGCCAGACCTCTTAGGAAATTACTGGAAGTGATTTCAGTGGAACTTTAAGCTTTAGTGCCAGATCACTAACTTGATGTATGACAAGAACTAAAAATCAGCTCTTCAAGTCATCCACCTTTAAGTATCCAACCAACAAGAAACAACTATTTAAGTCAACTTTATCAAGATTCAGTTTATCCCTAGTGTATGTCATACAGATAGTGAAATTAATCACACAGTAGTATATAACATATATATTTAGTTTATAGAATGTGTATGTTATACTCAGGAAAAATGTTCATGAAGCATGGAAGTTAAAAGTGCCTATATTGTGGGCTTAAAAGGTGATGAGACATGAATTATTTGAAACTGGAAGAAACTGGAGTTCTATTGCATAGTAGAGAAAATGATAGTGTCCATCTTATGTGTGGAAAACAGCATTTTCCAGTAAAGAACTTGGATATATAGCTGAGATTTCTAAAGAAAATATCGGTGTGTTTGGGTTTTTTTCTAAATTTCATACTTAATTGTTGATGTAAATAAAGAAATTCAACAGCTAAACACGAAGAAATTAGTCCTTACTATTTTTGAGATTATTAAGTAAACCAATTTCAAAAATCAATAAAATGAAGAGAAAGGAATTTAGAACTTAGAATTTAGAATTTAGAATTGTGCACTGGAGAGGTAGCAAGTCAGTGACTTCTCTCTGCTCCTCACCTATGAGGTGTCTCCCATGCTGGTCTGATGAAGGCCTTCACTAAGTTCTCTCTTTACTCCACCAGACATCAGGGCATGGCCACTGACCAGGCAGGGTCTAGAGAGAAGTTTGAGAGCTGTAAGTACTGGTTATTGCAATTCTTGTATTTGCAGTTTACTATGCATTTCAGATTTGGAAACCTCTAGAGGTTTGTCACAGAAGCCACAAGTTGTCACAGAAACTACAAAGAAGACATAACCTCTTCGACTTTCAAGAAGACTATGAAGAGAAGAGGAACAGGTTAGATGGTAGTATTACTTTGGTGTAGCCCAACTGTTAGGAAGACCAAGGTTATGCTAGCTCATAGGAAAATCAAGATTTTTCAATAACCCAGATAAAAGAGGAATTCTTTCCTTAGTAACCAAAGTAAATGGAAGCAAAAGACTTGCTCATAGCAACCACCAAGTGTTAACTGATGTTCAAGGACCATTCTGAATACATATTTGGGGAAAAATAATCCTGTAAATTCCTGAAGATGAATTGGATCTACAGCCTTCATAACTTTCATATATCTAAAGATCAATGTTGCTGGGCCCTGAAACTGAAATTTATACTACTCACCAGTCATGCATAGGAGAACTCTATGTAGTATAGTTCTATACACGTGTATAGCTGTGTGTATTTCTTATGACACCAAATCTCAATTGCACCACTGACTTTCACCTTGTTCCCCTAGTGATTTATGGAGCTCCTGACACTTATCAACATAAGCCTTTACCAGCTGAGAGTGTCTTGTTTACTTTCTTAGCAACTCTGTTCTTAATCATTCCTCAATGAATCTTTTAATAAATCATGGGAATATAATAAGAAAAACAATATAATTATTTTGTATCAATTATGTTTAAGCCTTATTTTACTGAGAAGATATATTTTTCTATGTGAAGAAAGTGTTTGAGTAACACCTATAGGAGTGAGGAAAAAAAGTATCAGTTTTTATTTTGTACTTGTTATAATTGGCAAGTTTTAGTTTTGCTACTCACAGTAAAAATAGATTTCATAGTTGCCCTTTGGATAACATTGAGTTGTCCTTGATCCTCCCACAGGGAACTTTAGATTTATTGACCTATAGCACACCGTGAAGGGCATATGCCTTGCATGTGGCCAACCCGGGTTCGATTCCCCCATCCCTCTCAGAGAGCCTGGCAAGCTACTGAGAGAATTCTGCCCACATGGCTGAGCCTGGCAGCTCCCCGTGGCATATTCAGTATGCCAAAAACAGTAACACCGAGTCTCACAATGGAGATGTTACTGGTGCCCACTCAAGCAAATAGATGAACAATGGGACGACAGTGCTACAGTTTTACTCCCACAATAGTGTCCCTAAGACACACCCAATTTCATCAAGCACTAACAATTCTATATTGCTTTTCTCTTTCCTTTATGTCATTTGCATGGTTGATTTAGCAATGTCCTTTTTGTATAGACACAGGAAGACAGTTCACACTATGCTTTGTAACATGGGAGTTCATTGAGTCCAAATAATATTTTCTCCTGGGCATCCATATTTACTTGACTCAAGCCTCAATTGCCCTTAGTTCCAAGCTTTCCAAAAGCAGGATCCTGACAAAGGGACTAAATGGACCTACAACAAGATAGAAGCTACTCTGGCATTGAAAAGAGACAAGCTAAGTGCCACAAGTATAATAAGTTAAGAGCATGGTCATGAACAAATTCTGTTATGACCCAAGAAGTAGTAACCCATTAAGGACCCTGCTGGGGTAAGGAAAGACTAACTTGGCCTGAGGACTGTGGTCTGGAATATATATCAAGATGTCCCCAGGAAGAGCCAACCTTTAAGCTTAGTATATTTCCTATAGTGTCCATACAAAATGACTAGAAACATAAGAAGTAAATTTATTATAATTAGTTAAATGGACTACTAACTGAGGAAAGGTAACAGCAATACACCCTAGATGGAACCTTGCCCTTGAGCGATCTCCTAATAATCTAGAATTCTGAACCCTCAGCTTAGACTTTGTCTTTGAGTAAATCTCCGGAAGGAGTGGCTTTACGTCTGTTTCTTGTTATGACAATGTGTAACTCCACCTATGCGTACCCCTTCCTTCATGATTGCGATATAACTATGCTGTAAGGGGAGGATGAGAACTGAGACTTTGGAGACTTTGGGACTTCGGGGTCTTTGAGGACTAGAAGGACTAGATGATGACGATGACTGGAAGTAGAGGACTTTAAGACGATGATGAGATGAGGAAGAAAATGTTAACTAGGTGGAGTACTTTAAAGTCTACGAGGAGACTAGGATGATGGAACTATGATGACTGGGACTACGACCAGAACTAAAACTGTGCTGTAAGTGGAGAGATTGGACTACACTGGGGAGGAAAGAGAAATAAACTGACTACCGACAAGCTTGGGGCCTTGGGCCAAGTTTCTCTGTTCCCCAGTCCTTCTTTCATCTATTCATCACTGTGAGCAGGTTGGGGAACATTTCCTGTCCACCAAAAGCTTGAGTGCCCTGTGTGCCAGGCACCCACCCACTTTTTCTTGGAAACTCACAGTTGCCTAATTTGGTATCGTGGCAATGAGGAACCACACAAGACAACAAGATAAATCAATGGACTCAGACCACACAATTCTAATTACCAGAGAGGAGAGGAAAGGGGGAAATATTAGGAGGGGAATGGGGTCAAATGAACTAGGATGCAAAGATATGGATTCTTTGTTGTTGGAGTTGGTGTGCTAACACATACTTTGAAGAGGAATGAAACTATACTATTAAAAGACACCCACAAACACACACCACACTATAGATACTAATAGCATTCAATTTTAAAATGTAGAGAAAGGAAACTAAGGTGAATGTACTTCATCATTTATAGAAAAGTGTTATCACAGATCTGGGGGTTAGTTTTATAAATAGTCTTATTGAAAATTAAAAGAAATAGAGCACATGCAATATAATCAGCTATTTCAATTATGGTTATACTATAATTGTTGACAATATCTCAATAAATATTAAAAGAAGAGCCAGGGAGATAGCACCCCATGTAGGACTTGTATGCAGCTGACCTGGATGTGCCCTGCACCACCCCCTCCCCCCCAAAAAAAGAAAAAAGGAAAGGAATAGCATTTTTTTTTTCGTTTTGGGTCACACCCAGCGTTGCACAGGGGTTACTACTGGCTCTGCACTCAGGAATTACTCCTGGGACCATATGGGATGCTGAGAATCGAACCCGTGTCCGCCGCGTGCAAGGCAAACACCCTACCTGCTGTGCTATCACTCCAGCCCCAGAAGTGGAATTTGTAATAACGGAAAGTCTTTTCCAATAAACTAAACAGAGGCTGCATTTCCTTTGCAGGTGCAGAAATCTTCGAATGTGTGTCCCTTCAATGTTCTGCCTCCTTACATTCCACATTATCTAATTTCTCTGTTTACCTGGATGGTCAGTTGTAAAGGTCTTGAGTTCCTCTGGGGTCAGTTGGCTGCGGATCTCCTAGATGCTCTGTGAGGGCAAGCTGGCAGCTCTGCATGGTCCCTTACTCCCCAAGCTCATTTATAGGCCACTGGGTGGGTCTTCCAGCTCCAGCGACCAATCCCAGGAAATAGAGATGACTCTGCCTCCAAGTAACTGGGGCTAGACTGGCCTGGAGCTAAAGGGATATTTAGAGAAACACTTACACCTTTAATCCTCACTTAATCCTTTCAGTGCCTCCAGGTCTTCTGAGTTTACAAAGAAAATGGAAGGACAGTTCTTTTGTTCACCACTGAAGCATTCACTGGATTCATAACTTCCACCCTAGTACACTGTTGGCAGTTTCCTGCTGTCTGGACCCACTTTAAGTGACTGTTCATCATATAAATATCTCTTGACTAGAAAACTTCCTCATCTAGGGGAAATGTTAAGTCTCCAAATGGGATCTCTGCACTCTCTGTGATTCCCCAAGGGCAGGAGGAGTGATCCCTGAGGGGTAAGCACTGAGCCCTGATGGGTGAGGCTTACAACAAACAGAACTAAAGTCTCTCAAGGTAACGTCTAACGCATTGAACTTAAAAATAAAGTAAAATAAGAATTCTCAGGTCAGCAATATAATAGAGTTTAAGGTCCTGTCTTGACACAAGGATGTTTTCTCTGCAGGAACAGAAATGGTAGGTGCTTCAAACTCTTCGAGGAGCATGGAGTTTCCTCAGAGCCAGGAGTCAGCATTAATCTCAGCTGGGTCTGGCCACAAAGTAAGCAAACAATAAACTTATAAACCGAAAAAACCCTCTTAACTGGCAAAGCTTCTGTGAATAAGCTTCCAGGAACTTCATAATGGCTACAGTGACAGGACCAAAATCAGGGCTGGGGTGGAGGTTTTGTTAGAATACAAGCACACACAACAAAAGCACAGAAAATGTTTCCCTTAAAATGGTCTGAGAAACACAAAATTCCCTATATATCTAGTTAAAAAATAAAAATTCTCTACTGAAAACCTTATACTGTCAGTGGTTGTTTAACAAACACTCTCTAGCACAGAGGATTAATTTCAGGTTTTAAAACATAATAGAAATTGCTCTGCTCTCAGGTTAACAATTTACCGTGGATCAATGTTCTTCATACAGTTATTTATTTGTTTGGGAAGTGGATGGGTGGAAAGAGAGAGAGAGAGAGAGAGAGAGAGAGAGAGAGAGAGAGAGAGAGAGAGAGAGAGAGAAACTAAAGAGAGAACAACTCAGGCTTCTCCAAAGGCAGAAAGAGCCCCACTACATAACCCTGCATTCAAGTATGAAGGTATGAAAAGCACATCTCAAGAAGAGACATGCAGGCAACATGTGTGCTCAAGTGGCACATACATTTGGCCATGACACATAGACAGAAGCAGCACCTGGGCTCATGCAGTGTACGTGCACACTAATATAAAGGTAAAGGTAAAGGCCCTCCCGTTGATAGTTGATTTGCTCGAGCGTGCCCAGTAACGTCTCCATTGGAGACTTTGTTGTTACTGTGTCTGGCATATCGAATACTCTCGGTAGCTTGCCGGGCACACTAATATACTTTTCTTAATTTTGATTTCTTTCAAGGAAATTACCATGGATCCAACCCACGGCTGAAGCTAGTCCTGATCATTTTAGGATTAACAAGACGTGCAGCTACAACCTTCATCTCCCCAATGTGGATTCTCTAGGAGTTGAGTTTTTTAGTTTGGGGTAATTAAAAAAAAATTATCTGGGAACGAGGATCTTTGGACTCATGATTATTATTTCTTTTCTATTCTCTTTTATTTTAATTTGCTTTCTCTCCAACTTGTCTCGTTACTGTCACATTCTCCTATGAGCAGCAAAAATAAATCACATAGCACATTACATTCACTTGAAAATTTCAGCTAAGCATTGAAATTTTCACAGTCAACATAACTATTGGACACTGTTCAGCTAAAGTTTCTACCACTTTAAAGCAAAAATCTCAATTAGACTACCGTAAAATAATACATCTCATATTCTTTTTGTCCCAATAAAAGCTCTTAGAATATCCATATTTCACCCTGGATGTTCCTGAGGATAACACTGAAGTTTAGTAAGAAAACTGAAATTTACATACAAGTGGTACTACATGGAAAGTATGCTAATGACATGAGTCAGAAAGAGAGGACAGACATAGAAAGAGTGCATTCACCTGGGGAATATAAAGTAACAAAATAGGAGACAAACACCCAAGAATAGTTGAGATATGTACCAGGAGGTTCACTCCATGGCTTGGAGATAAGAGCTTTCCAGTGTTCTTTAGGACAAAGCTCTTTCCCTGGCACTGATGTGTCACTAAAGGAGCTGTGAGGAGAAGGTGAGAGAGCAGAGGCAAAGGCCCGAATGTGGCTATTGCAGGAATAGGTTCATGGTACTGAGAACAGGGTTAGCTCTTGGTGGACTTGCTGAGATATTCGAATAAGATAATTTAAGGATGATTCCAACAACTTTCACAAGTACTGATAGAACGTTAGTTAAATAAATGGTGTCTCAATCAGAGAGCTGTGGACACTTATAATATCATTTTAGCTGTGGACACTTATAATATCATTTTAAAAATTATTTTATTTTTTTATTTATTGTTAAAATTTTGGGGCTGGAGCAATACCACATCAGATAGGGTGTTTGCCTTGCCCACAGTCAACATGGTCGACCCGAGTCAATTCCTCTGCCCCTCTCAGGGAGCCCGGCAAGCTGCTGAGAGTATCTTGCACGCACGGCAAAGTCTGGCAAGCTATCCCTGACGCATTGGATATGCCAAACACAGTAACAGCAAGTCTCACAATTTCTTATGAGATGTTACTTGTGCATGCTGGAGAAAATAGCTGAACAACGGGAGGGCAGTGCTATACAGGACTATAATTAGTTTTGTTTTGCCACACCCTACAATAAACAGGGCATTCTGCTGACTCGGTACCACACCTGGCAAACACCTTACAGCCTCCATTATCTCTCTTAACCCAATAACACTTTCCTTCTAATTCATAAACATTTTCTAATTTTTCTCACCGAGAATGGGATAGGGAACACAAAGATGGTTAAGGAAGGGCTTGCTTCCTGTGAATGCTAGTTCCCTAATATGGAGCTCCTAGTGACAGGTTAGAGTTCTGGGGAATCCCATCACTGCTCTGAAAATCCCATCTATCCAGCCCCACCCGACCTCCCGTCAGTCATTCCTGGGTGGGTCTCTCCAGACTCACCCTGTGATGTATATAAACACGGTGCTGAGTGTGGGCACACAATGCCTAGTGCAGCCTGAGTCTGCATCCTTCAAGGGAAGTAGCTCACCAGTAGGACCAAGCACTGCACCAGCCAGAGTCAGGATCAAGGTGAGTTAGCGATCAATCTGGGGTTTGTGGTAACTGGAGGCAGAAACCAGGGACAAGAAATCAATCAGGGAATTTGTGGTTCTTATGGGGCAAGAGCATTATTTCTATAGCTTCCTTAGTGTCTACTGTGTGCAGGCTCTAGAGGGCCTCCGTTTGACCATCTGAGCTCTATTTTCTTTATACTATACCCCAGAGTTGAGTGACCATTCCTCTGCTGTAAAAGGGGTCATTTCCTCATCACAGAAAGTGGTGATCACTTGAAACAGGGGATTCTAATAGACGAAGCCCCAGAGGTTGGTGGGCTTATTTGTGAAAACAGTTTGGAGGGCCTTGAGTCCAGATGGGAGCTGTATTTTCACAGAGAAAAATCACAGAGAAAACCATATTAAATTTCGAACAGAGGCTGAGTTTGTGATTTTTTAATTTTTATTTTTTCTGGCAGGGGAAAAGCTGAGGAGCTCGACCTTGTGAGCAAAAACTTCCTTGTCCTGCCCTTTCCACACCTAAGGATGGAGAAGGTGTCAGCAGCCCTGCCGAAAATGCAGCCGGAGCTCATCTGTCTTGTCTGCCTGGACTACCTCAATGATCCCGTCACCATCGACTATGGCCACAACTTATGTGACGCCTGCATCCGCATGTCATGGAAGGACCTGCAGGACACATTCCCTTGTCCCGTGTGCCGGCAGGCCCGCCAGCAGATGCGCATCAGTGCCAACGCCCAGCTGGGCAGGCTGGTGGACCTGGCCAAGCTCCTGCACAGATCTGAGAGCAGCGAGATGGCGCGGGCAGAGGCGGGCAGGTGTGAGGAGCACAGGCAGGGAGTGAGCCTCTTCTGCGAGGATGACCAGGAGCTGGTATGTCCTCTGTGTGCCCAGGCCCTGCCCACCAGGGCCACCAGGTCAGGTCCGTGGCCGAGGCAGCGGCTCATCACAGACAGAGGCTTGGTGAGTGCATCGAGTCCCTGAAGAAGCAGCTGGTAGAGGTGCAGAAGCGAGAAGTCGCCCAGGACACAAACCTCCTGCAGCTGAGAGCAGACATGGAAAAGCACAGGAGTCAGCTGGCCTCGGAATTTGAGCAGCTCACCCAGTTTGTGGAGCGTGAGCACGAGACTGCGCTCTGCAGGCTGGCAGAAGAGGACAAACGCCTGCAGCAGCAGCTTAGGGACAACCTGGAGGCCTACTCGGACCACATCTGGGAGCTGGAAGACCTCAGACGGGAGGTGGCGGAGCGGAGCGTGATGTCCAAGGAGATGGTGCTGAGGGGGGTGAGGGGACTGCAGCAGCGCTGGGCAGGCCTGCAGCTCCCAGCCGTGCAGCCCCTTTGCTTCAGGCCGGTGGCCTACAGCCTCCCTCCTCTGTGCTCGGCGCTCAGCATCATCCGGAGATTCCGAGAGCGCATCAGTCTGGATCGCGACACGGCCCACCCCAGCCTGTGCGGGTCCCAGGACCTCCAGTGGGTGACCTGCGTGAGGAAGAGGTTCAAAGGATATGGGGACCCCGAATCCTGTGATGACACCGCCCAGCTGGTGGTCCTGGGCCTGGAGGGCTTTGCCTCTGGTCGACACTACTGGGAGGTGCAGATGGGGGCCAAGCCAGAGTGGGCCGTGGGCGTGTGCAGTGTTGCTCATTTGGCCCAGAACTCGCGGTCCCTGGCGGCTCCCAAGAGATGTTGGACGCTGCAGCTGCAGGATGGCGACCACCAGGCAGTGGCCGCGGGGGCCATGCCTCTGGCTCTCAGGGACCACTCCGCGGCCATCGGCGTTTACCTGAACTGGGAGCTGGGCCAGCTTTCCTTCTACATCGCCAACGACAGGTCTCAACTGCACTCGTTCACCGAGCCCTTTGCTCAAGAGCTCAAGCCCTACTTCCGCTAGGGGCCCAACTGCCTCCCTCTCTCTCTGTGGGTGCGGGGAGGGATGGGAAAGGGTGAGTACAGCCTGGGCTTCCCCCCTCCCTCATGTGGACTGCGAGTTACCTTGTTAATATGGGACTGATTGCATAAGTGCTCAATTTCAGGGTAGCTGAGGGAGATGTTCTTTTCTTGCAAATCTTTGTAATATATCTCTGACTATTTTGCACCTATATGCCTGTGTCTAATAAAATACATTTTTACGCCAAAGAAATGTCTCTGCTTCCTTCCAGCAGAAATATGTTTTAAAAAGCATTACACAGATCTCATATCCATTCCCGCTAATTAGTTTATATCTACAGTGTATTTTATTAGCGGTATGCACATTTAACAAATATCCCTCAATTATATAAAACCTAGGAGTAGTGATCTCCATGCATGGAACAAGGAATATCTCCTAAGCCCTACTCAGTCAGGTTCAAATACTAAAATCAGTATATAAGAAAGTGAAAAACAGTTCTGGATTTAGTTTTGATATATTTTCTGTATTTACAAAGAGAACTTGGACTAAAATATCACGTGCCATCATAATTACACCACTCACTAATGACTGGTCTTACACAACTCATTAATGATTGGTCAAAGACCTTTCTATGTAAACATTCCTCCTTCTGTTGACATGTCTGTCATAAGCAGGCATAAAGCTCTCATTAGAATCTTTCTAATAATGATTCAATATTCTATTTATTAATTGTTTTCAAAATTATTCGAAAAAACAAATATGCTAATTTAACTTCCACACATGGAAAATATTTCTTTCATTGTGCTTTTTCATCACTATTTTCATTTTCTTTTATTAAGAATGGTATTTGGTGGGCTCACTGGGTATGAGTTCTTCGAAAGGAATATAACTAAGATGGGATTAAAGAGTTTACTATCACTAGCTCTAAAATAGGAAGACTCTATACAGTCAGGGATGGAGCAATAGTGCAACGGGTACAGCGTTTCCCTTGCATGCAACCTGGGTTTGATACTCAGCATTCCATATGGTCTCCTGAGCACTGCCAGGAGTGATGCCTGTGCATCACCAGGTGTGACAAAAAAAGGAAAAAAAAAAAACCTCTAAATACTCAATATGGTTAGACCCAACTTTGCACGCAACCAACCCAGGTTTGATTCCCAGCATATCACATGAACTCCTGAGCACTGCCAGGAGTAATTCCTGAGTGCATAAGCCAGGACTAAACCCTGTGCATCGCCAGGTGTGACCCAAAAGCCAAAAAAAAAAAAAAAAATGTTCCTGGCTCTTTTTGACAATACCATAACAGTGAAAAGACTTTTAGCCAGATAGAAAAGTTGTCTGCAGGCAGCTTAGGAGAAAACCTATAAAACTACTATAAAATTATTGTGAAGTCAAGTGCTTTCTTCACCTGAATCTCCAACTCAGGTATTGCTCTCAGCTCTCATCTTGGAGAAGACTATGCTCTCTCTGAGCATGTTATTCTCTTTCTTTCATTTCTAGTAATCTCTAAATACAACTATTATACAAGCAAAAAAATGGTGATTTGGGGAAATGATATAAATATAAATTGAAAGTGCGTTAAGAAAATATATCAATTAAAGCTTGTTGTTCCTGGCTTAGTCCGGGATTCTGTTCTTTGGGATCCTTCCTGACAATCCCTGTCATCATTTAAAGTGACAGGGGTCAAACCCAGGTTCTGTGTAAAGCTAGAGCTTTACCCACTATTCTTTCTGTCCAGCTCTTAAAGAGTTTCTTGATGCTACCCTGGAGTCTATGGAATTAACAATTTATAAATCCAGTCGTGATTGTCTCCATTTACCTATTCCTCATATTGTGAGGTTGAGAAAGAACCTCATATGCACCGTGACAGGCTGCATTTCAACAAACGAGCAGTAGGCCTAAGTTTCTGTCCGCCCCCCCCCCCCCCCCCCATCACCCCAAAGAATTTCCTGAGACTGTCCTTGGCGAAGCTAGAGATCCCTTTTGAAAGGCCTATGATAATAGGATGGCTACCCCAGCTTTTTTATGGGAGCTGTTTGCCTGTAGGATTGTTTTCCAGCCTTTGACTCTGAGTCTGTGTTTGCTTTGACTATTGAGATGTGTTTTTTGCAGGCAGCAGAATGTTGGGTTCAATTTTCTAATCCATCCTGCCACTCTATGTCTTTTAATTGGTGTGTTTAGCCCATTGACATTGAGAGAGATTATTGTTATGGGATTTTGTCCCATTATTTTGTTGAAATTTGGTGTATTTGAGGGGCCTTTCTTGCCTTAAAGTAGCCCATTTAGTTGTTCTTGTAACCATGGTTTTGAGTCTATGAAGTTCCTGAGCTGTTGTTTGTCTGTGAAACTGTGTGTTGTTCCTTCTATTATGAATGAGAGTCTCGCTGGGTAAAGTATTTTTGGAGAAGCATTTATTTCATCGAGATTTTTCACTATGTCCCACTACTGTTTTCGGGCCATGAGTGTTTCATCAGAAAAATCAGCTGTGAATTTTAAGGATGCTCCTTTGTAAGAGATTTCTTTCTTCGATCTTGCTGCTTTCAGAATTTTGTCTCTGTCTAAGGTTTTGGTCATTTTGATCAGAATGTGTCTTGAGGTACTTTTATTCGGATTTCTTCTAGCTGATACCCTTTGGGCCTCCTGAATGTGGTCACAAGTTTTCTTCAGCTCTGGAAATGTTGTAGCAATGATGTCTTTGACAGTTTCTTCTTCATCAAGGTTTTCTTCCTGTCCCTCTGGGACTCCAATAATTCTTATGTTAGCCCTCTTGGCTTCGTCACGATCTTCTCTTGGCATCTGATTCCAAATAGTGAGTCTCTTTTCCATTTTCTGCTCTTTCCTGGAGAGTCTCTGAACTTCATCTTCGAGCTCACTGATTCTGTTCTCAGCGGCTGTTACTCTGCTGCTGAGGCCTTCCACTGAGTTTTTCAATTCGCCTACCAGGTTTTTCAGGTCTGACATTTCCGATTGCATTTTCCTCAGTTCTGCCTTCAAATCCTCTTGTCTTTTATTGGCATTGCTTTCCATTGTTTCTTTTAGTTCCCTAAGCATCCTAAGTAGCTCTCTTCTGAATTCCTTGTCAGAGAGGTTGTCTAACACTACAGTACTGTTGATATCTTCTGGGTTAGTCAATTCAATAAGAAAGTTTGGTGGGCTTTTGCGTTGCTTTACTATTGTGACAAGTGTGGTTTAATCCTTCATGTTCACTGTTACTATTCTGATTGATATGCAGTGTGAGTTTAGATGCGCTTATGAGTTATTGGCTACTGAGTACAAAAGCAACCGATGCTGGCGTGGATGTGGCAAGAAAGGGACACTCCTTCACTGTTGGTGGGAATGTCGACTGGTTCAGCCCTTCTGCATAACAGTATGGATGATGCTCAAAAAATTAGAAATTGAGCTCCCATTTGACCCAGCAATACCAGTCCTGGGAATATATCCCATAGAGACAAAAATGTATAGTCGAAGTAACATCTGCACTTGTTTGTTCATTGCAGCACTCTTTACAATATCCAGAAACTGGAAGAAACCTGAATGCCCAAGAACAGATGACTGGTTAAGGAAACTTTGGTACATCTACACAATGGAGTACTATGTAGCTGTTAGAAAAGTTGAAGTCATGAAATTTATGTACAAGTGGTATAACATGGAAAGTATCATGCTAAGTGAAATAAGTCAGAAAGAGAGGGATAGTCATAGAAAAATTGCATTCATCTGAGGAATATAAATTAACAAAATATGAGATTAATATCCAAGAACAGCTGAGATCAGTACCAGGAGGATTACTCCATAGCTTAGACGCCGGCCAGGCATTCTATGGGATACGGCAGCTCAGATAGAGAAGGGAGCACCAAATAAAGGATGTTTGGAGGATCCTCCCAGGAGGGAAGATTCATGTTGAAAGTAGACTATGGACTGACCATGTTTGCCACTCAAAGCCTGTTTGGCAGACCACAACACCCAGAAGGAGAGAGAGAACACAAGGGATCGCCCTGCCACAGAGGCAGGGTGGGATGGGAGGGATGGGGGTGGGAGGGATATTATCCATGGTGGTGAAAAATGGCACTGGTGGAGGGATGTGTATTTGATCATTGTATAATCTAAACCCAAGCACAAAAAATTGTAAATCTAAAGAAAAAAAAAAGAAAATTTTTGTAACTCTGAAAAAAAAAAAGTCCTATGATAAGTAGGATATCTCTGGGCACAGCAGGTGGGAATGACCAGTTAGCTCACAGACTTGTGACTGGTTCCTCGAAATTTGGTAAAACTGCCACCTTTGCTTCTATCACCATATGCGATAAAATGTCCCCTGGAACTAGGGCCTGTCCTTGTCAAGACTCTGCTGCATTGGATTAGGCTTGGGCCCTAGCTGGAGCTAACAATAAAGATTCCTTTGCTTTTGCATTCTCACTTGTGGAACGGGTCTCTCTGTGAACGGGACACCCAGTTCCCGGGTATAACAACATATATTTATTTTCCTCTTTCATATCTGCCTGCAATGTTTTGAGCAGGATGGAATAGCTAATTTTACTGAAGGTCCAGTTACACTGTCTCTGCAGTGAAAACCAATTCAAGAGGTGATGTGATAAGTAGAAAATGAACTTAATTGTCAACAAACTGGCAGGTTGGAAAATGGGAAATCCAGGTCCTTCAAGTTAACATCTTGTCTTCCAGTCATGAGAAAGGGTTTTTGTAAAAAAAATGGCAGGGAGCCACATCATTTTCTAGAAATAATTGTTCAGGTAGGTCAGATTATTAATAAACTCTTTTGGATTTATTAAAACCCCAGTAAGGTGTTGACAGCACCAACAGTTCTCAGCTTGGTACTCAAAGGGTCTTTCTCAGTCCCGACGCACTTCGGCACCACCCCCATTGACCAAAGAAGGTAGAAAGGAAAGTGGCAGAATCCCATATCATGTCTAGTGGCTCTCTTCTCAATCTTCACATAAGTCACTTTCAACAGGTCAAGCTAAAATGGTGATATTAACTAAAAAAAATATATG